TGTGTGTGTGTGTGTGTGTGTGTGTGTGTGTGTGTGTGTGAGGAGGGGACAGTCAGCGAGGAGACAAGCAGAGAGAGCACTGCAGGGGAGGAAATCAAACAGTTCGCAGTTTTCCTCATGAGTTGTTGGGACAGCTACAGTTTTTTTTTTTGGGTGTTTGTTAAAACACAGATGGTGCGTTTAAGTTTCCTGTTATTTTTGGGAGCTACAGGTAAAGTCTTGACAAGTTTGTCGCAGGTCTGGGGGAGTTTCAGCCCCCACCCCTTCTCCTCCTCTCTCTCTCTGTGTCTCTCCGCAGCGAAATGCAAGCTCTAGTGCTCCGACACTGCAGCAGCCACGTTTTGCTTTGAAACGTTTCTTTAGTTTGTTATTGCTACGAGCTCTCACGCTAAAGCGACAGTTGACTCCTCCCAACACTAAGAAAACAGGAGGGGAGGAGTCAGCTGAGCCCCTGTGTAGCGGAGCACAGAGAGAGGGAGAGACGAAGTAAACAAACAAGCAGGAAAATGAAACTTATCGTCCTCATTTTTTTTTACCGACCTCAAAAAAATTTATTGTGCAATTAATTGATTAATTGATTTATTGATTATTGCGACAGGCCTGTTAAGGAGTTCCCCTTTGATGTCACTTCCTGTTTCACTTTGGCTGAGTTCAAAAGAAATTATAACAGTTATGGGACGAAATGGGTTAAATCGTGTGTATTATTCCAACTTTCTTAAATATAAAGATGTTTTCTTTGACTTTTTGTATTTGAAGGATATACATGTCACAGACACTTTAAGGCTAAGTAAGGCCTTATTTTTTGATTGATGAATTCAAGGCCTTTTAAGACTTTAAAAGGGGCAATATCATGTAAAATCTACTTTTTAAGTTTTATATCATGTTATACTCTCATAAAAAACATGTTTAAAGCCTTGCTCTGACTCATTCATGCATGTTTGAGAAATCCTGCAGCATTTTTAGAAAGTCATGCTGAGGAGCAAAATGACAGGTGGGGACCAGAAACGCCTCTGGGACGTGTCTTCAAGCCAAACTTCCTCATAGTAGAGCACACCCCCTCCCTCACTCCCCACACACCCCACCCATGACTCCTGCAGGCTGTAAAAGTGAAAGTGAAACTTAACTGTCTGCTGAGCTCTCAACATTAGTTCTCACTCGGTGAAGCTCTTTTCAGATTAAAAATACCTTTGAGGAAATGTATTTTCAGATGCCAAGTAAACTGCATCATAGCGCATGCACACACACACACACCCCCCCCACCCCCCCGGAACGGGACGGAACAGAAGCAGAAGGAGGTTCTTAAAGAGACAGAGGCCAATTTCAAGGCGTTTAGAAGAGGAAG